CAGGAACAGCAGCAGGAAGAACAGCAGCAGCAGCAACAAGACCAGGAGGAGCAGCAGCAAGCAACCAACAGCAGCAGCAACAGCAGCAGCAACAGCAGCATAAACAGCAACAGCAACAGCAGCAGCAGCAGCAGCAGCAAACCACTACAATACCACTACATTCTCTACATCCAAGCGTGTGATTCTTTTTCTTTTTCTTCTATTATAAACACAGACCCCACCTCTGTTCGTCGCCAGCTGCTGCAGCCGTTTCCTTTTTCTTTCTTTTTATATCTTCTATCTAGGGGGAGAGAAGCAGATAAACTTTTTCTTTCTTGGGCTCAGCAGAGGCCCCCTAAACCCAGAAGGGTATTACCCCCCTTCGGCCTCCCCGCTCTCCCTCCATTCCCTATACCGCCAGGGTTTGGGGGCCCCCTACCCCCGCCGCATCTATTGGGGGCCCCGGGGGCCCCCGGGGCCCCCGGAAAGGGGCCCCCCGATGGTCTCCCCTTCCCTGGGTTCCCCAGGGGGCCCCCAGGGCGTAAACAGATGCCGGGGGGCCCCGGGGGCCCCCCACCTCCTCCCTTCATGGGCGGGGGGCCCCCCCCACAGTGGGGTGGGGGGCCCCCTCCACCACCCCCACCACCACCGCAGCATGGGGGCCCCTGGAAAGGAGCAGCAGCAGCAGCAGCAGCAGCAGCAGCAGAGGGTACACCCAAGCGCTTTCATAGGGGCGGAGATATGGATAGCGGCAGGGGGGGCCCCCTAAAGGAAGGGTTTAAACCCTTCGATGATAGAAGGGGGGGGCCCCCTTCATCTCGTCAAGGGGGGCCCCCTCGTGATTTCTATGACGCTATAAAACAACACACACCGAACCCAGCTCCTGTTGGGGGCCCCTGGGGGGCCCCCCAACCAAACCCAAATAGTAAGAGCTGGGGTCAGGGTGGGGGGGGCCTCTCCCCTAGCGACAGAGCGTCAGCAGGGGGCCCCTCTCCTCCTTTCTCTCTATCGAAGGAGAATGGGGGCAGAGGGGGTTGGGGTGGTGGTAGCTGGGAGAGTAGGGGGCCCCCAGGGGGGGGCCCCCCTGGTGATTGGGGTCAGGGGCCCCCGGGGGCAGGAGGAGGGGGCCCCCAGGGGCCCCCAAGAGCTGACGGCCGGGGGGGGCCCCTGAAAAGACATAAAGCTGCATATGATAGTAACTATAGTGGAGGGGATTGGAATGGGGGGCCCCCCATGAAAGAACATTCAAGGGGAGGGGGGGGCCCCCCTGATTGGGGGTACCAGCGAGGAGGAGGTGCTGGGGGCCCCGGGGGCCCTGGGGGCCCCGGGGCCCCCGCCTATGATAGCTTTGCTGCGCACCGCAACGCAGACAACATGGGGGGCCCCCCACCCTTCCGTGGGGGCCCCCCTCAACTATCATACAGCCGTGATGGGGGCCCCCCTCGTGAGAACCAGTTTGGGGGCCCCAGGGGCCCCGGTATGGGTGGGGGCCCCCCTCATCACCAGCAGCAGCAGCAGCAGCAGCAGCACGGGTTCGGTGGGTACTCGGGTAACCATATGCAGCAGCAGCAGCAGCAGCAGCAGCAAGGGATGCCCCCGTATGGTGGCGGCTCTGCTGCGTTTCATGGTGGGGGGGGCCCTGAGTATGGGGGCCCCCAGCAGCAGCAGCAGCAGTACACGCAGCAGCAGGGGTACATGTATTCCCAGCAGCAGCAGCAGCAGCAGCAACAGCAGCAGCAGCAGCAGCAGGAGCCTGTACCTGCGTACGTGATGCAGCTGCTGCAGCAGCAAGCAGCACAAAGGGGGGCCTCGGTAGACCCTAGTGTTCTCGCTCAGCTGTATACACAGTACTATCAATCCTTTCTTTCTTCTATGTCTTCTGCTGGGGGGCAGCAGCAGATGCTGCATCAGCAGATGATGCAGTATATGCAGCAGCAGCAGCAGCAGCAGCAACAGCAGCAGCAGCAACAACCTGCACACTGATGCTCTTCCTGCTTCTTACCTGCATATACACCCCACCTAAGGGAACGAGGCAATCACGCCCTATTACAGACTATCTGCTGCTGCTGCAGCAACTGCAGCAGCAGC